GACTCTGGAGTTTGTCTGTGATACTGCCCAGCTGCAGCGCCAAAGATGCATGCAATTTGAGCTGTGGGTCAGGGGAGTACCTGCTAGTGAATTGCGGTCCCGATCTCTGTGACAAAGAAAAGCACGAAGTCTCCCAGTCTGACCCCAGTCTACTCTGTGACCCACTGGGAGGGGAGGGAGCTTCCCTTCCTGTCTCAAAAGTAAGTTTTCCTCCAAATCTCAGCGGAGGTGTCCGTGCCCACAGCCAGCACCCAGGAGACCCAAATTACCTCCAAAAAATCAAGATGAGCTGCTGGAGGCAGGTCTCTGCTGTTGTCCACCGGAAAATTAGAGTGGTCACTGGTAAACTGTTATAAGGTGTCCTCCCTCTTTGCTTGGGGATCTCAGGCGGGTGCCCTAGCCTGGCACACAGTGACTACTCCAGAAGAGTTTCCAATGCCTCTCTCAGGTGTCCATCCGTCCTCCTCCAGTTGCTCTTTCCAAAATAATCTCCCTGTGACTTTCCTCTAATTCTGCTCTTCCGTGTTTGATATACTCTGAATCTGTGAGCTGTTCAGAGCAGTGAAATTCCTAATTTAAACTGTTGTGGCTAGTTTTCCAAGACCATAGATGCCAGAGGGATAAAGCATGCTCCTCATTGGCTCGACTCCATTTTGAACTCCCATACTTCGTTTTGTGATATTCATTGCAATCCCCACAATGTGTACCATCCTCCCACTTCCTCCCTGTGTTTACTGTTTCCATCTGTCCTTCTTTCCTATCCCTTCCTTCCTTCTGAGCTTTATCCAAGGGTAAATCCTGCCCTTTTGATCTTGTATGGTTGACTGTTCTAAGGAATGTGTACCTCCCTGATGTTACAGTTCACCTTATAGGCCTATTAATTGGTTGAAATTTGAGCCACAAAGTCTAGTACTTTTTTTCCCCAGTCCAAGATCTAATCTAGGATTCAACATTGTATTCTTTTAACTTTTATTTTGGGAAAATTTTAGATTTACAGAAAACTTGCAAAAGTAGTATAGGGAATTCCTGAACATCCTTCACCCAGCTTCTTCTTATATTAACATCTTATATAATCATAGAACAATGGTCCCCACTACCTTTGAGTTGATTCCAACTCATGTAAGACAGAGTAGAACTGCCCCATAGGGTTTCCAAGGCTCTAATTTTTGTGGAAGCAGACTGCCACATCTTTCTTCTGTGGAGTGGCAGGTAGGTTTAAATTGCTGACCTTTCAGTTAGCAGCTGAGTGCTTTAACCACTGCAGCACTAGGTCTCCTTAAAACAATAATACCTGAATACCAAACTCACTGCCGTCGAGTCGGATTTGACTCATAGGACCCCTCCTTGGATTTCCAAGGCAGTATCACTACAGAAGTAGATTGCCCAATTTCCCTTCTGAGGAGTGGCTGGTGGGTTTGAACCGCCAGCCTCCTGGTTAGCAGTCAAATGCCTTAGGCACTACACCACCAGAGCTCCCAAAACGATGATAAAAACGCAACAATTAACTTTGATGAAATATTTACTAAACTACAAAATTTATTTAGATATCACCAGTTTTTCCATGAGTCCTTTTTCAATTTCAGGATCTAACTCAGAATCCAGCATTGCATTTAGTTGTCTTGTTTACATAATCTCTTATAAACTTATAACATTTCCTCATCTTTCATTTTCTTGATACTTTTGAAGAGTATTGGCCAGTTATTTTGTAGAATGTCCTTCAATTTGGGTTTGTCTGACATTTCTAATGATTAGAATGAGGTTATACAAAGGTGCCTTCTCAGCATGTCACAGCAGGGGATGCATAATGTCACTATGTCTTATTACTTGATGACCTGGGTAAGGTGGTGCCTGCCAGGATTCGCCGTGAACTTACTATGTATTGATAGTATATATGATACATATATGATAACTAAGTATTTGTGGGAGATACTTTGAGACTAAACAGACATCCCATTTTTGCTTAAATTTTCACCTTCCAATTTCATCATCAACTGATGATGGACCTTGCCTGTGAAAATCATTACTATGTTATTGTAATGGTGATTTGTTATTTCCCTCATTTCTTGTACATTTATTAATTGGAATTCTTCTACAAGGAAGAGTTTTCCCTTCTCCCATATTTATTGGTTCAGTTATTTATTATGTCTTTGTTCTGGTTACCTAGTGCCACCCTGACAAGAATATACCACAAATGGAATGGCTGAACAAACAGGAGTTTATTCTCTTACAATTTGGAGGCTTTAAGTCCAAGTTCAAAGTTCCAGGTTTTGGGGCTGAGTGAAAGCCCCTCAGCCTTGGGCTTCAGCTCTGCCTCCAGCCCCCAGCCCACTGAAGCTAGAGGCTTTTCTTCACTCAGACAGCTGCTGGCTGCTGAGGCTGCCAATCCCAACGTTGACAAGTAAAAAGGCACAGTGATGATGTTACCAAACCAAAGGCCAGGCCATTAATTCAAGTCCATTGAAAGTCCCAAGGTTGGCAGAACATGGCAGGCTGCTGAACAATGACATGGCTACATGCAGGGTTCAAGCATGCCATAAGCCAGAGACCATTCCCCAAGGCGTCTCCTTACATACAGGAAGCAGACCACATCCGTAAGGTAGCCTACTCAACTGTTCACAGTAGATTCCACCATGGAGTTGATTACCAGTCTCATCATAGGGAATACTACATCCGGCTGCCCAGCCACTCAACCAGGCCCAGGCAAATTGACACACAAACTTAACCACCATAGTCTTTATATGTTTATTTATATTAGTATGGACTCATGGGTATTTATTTTTTTCTTTGGATTATAATCTACCATAATTTATCATTTTTCTCAAGTTGTTCCAGTTTTGCCCATTGGGAGCTCTTTCAGGTTGCCATTTATGTCCCTTTAAAATGCTCACATGATTTGATTCTAGAATATTTCCAGGCTCATCTTGTGTATACTCAGCCCCAGCCCTAGAATTGTAGTGCCATTCTCTGGAGAAGGATATCATGCTTGGTAAAGTAGAAGGTCAGCAAAAAAGAAGAAGCCCTTTAACAAAATGGATTGACACAGTGGCTACAACCATGGGCTCAAGTATAGCAAGGATATAGGTGCACAGCCAGGCAATATTTGATTCTGTTGTACATGGGGTCACTATGAGTTGGAGCCGACTTGATGTCACCTAACAACAATAACAGGAGCTCTGGTAGCATAGTGCCTAAGGCACTTGATTGCTAACCAGAAGGCTGGCGGTTCAAACCTACCAGCCACTCCTCAGAAAGAAGGTTGGGCAATCCTACTTCTGTAGTGATACTGCCTTGGAAACTGAAAGTAACAAAGAAGGATCTTCCCCTTGAGTCAATGTCCTAAATTTGGATTTCTAGTCTCCTAAGCTGTAAGAAAATATATTTCTGTTCTTTAACACCACCCACTTGTGGTATTTTTGGTTACAGTAGCACTAGGAAATGAAGACAGTCTTTTAGGGGAGCAACTGGTCAGACTGTCATGAGAGTGAAAAGTAAACCTTGATTTTGGCACGCCGCTGAACTGACCAATTGGTTGTTTCAGCAGTTGGTAAAAATTACCTGGACACATTCTCCATGCACAGGTGGGTACTGAAAATACCCATGAAGGACATGATCATTAGTATGATACTGTGATGGCTACTGGGATGGACTGATAGGGACAACAGAGTTGGTGTTTTGGTTATGATGGGGACAACATTTGTGGTTGCTTGGTGCTAATGACTGTAGTGGGGTCATGTGGTGGGATGAGGGAGGGAAAGGAGCGGGTGATGGTGTATTAAGTGGAGGTGATATAATGTTGTAATAGAGTGATATGGATGGCAGTGGAGGTGGTGCAGATGGTGTTAATGTCTGTGGGGACCTGGAGCAGATGTTGACTGTGCTGGTGCTGGGTGCTGACTCTGGGGGACAGCAGTGGCCAGTTGGGGGATGGCATCTTAGTTGTGGTGGGGGACAGCAGGGGTGCATTCAGTATGGCTGACACTGGGGTTGATGGCAGTGAGTGGGTGGGATAGTTTACATGATTGTGTGGTGGTGGCCTTGCTGGTGGAGGTGATGGGCCTAGGACAGAGGCCCTGGGAGGGAGGACAGTGAATTGAATTTCCAACTTTCCCTGGGCTTTTGCACCTCAGGAAATTCATGTCCTAGTCTTGAAGGTTCCTCTTCTCTTATCCTCCTCAGGGAGCCCCAGGGGTAGAGGAGGAAGAGGAGAGAGAATTTGAGGAAGAGAAACAAATGAGAGATGAGGAAGGGTGGGACTAGGGGAGTATGGAGGGTCCCAGGCACTGATGGAATAAATACCCATTGAGGTCACTGAGGTCATTTTAGGGAGAGGATGTGCCCTTTTCAGGTATTTCTGCTGTGGTGGTGTAAACCTCCCCTCCTTGCTGGGGTCTTCAATGTGCCCTCCTCTGCTCCTTGCTGCATTATGAGGACAAGCTTATGTAAAACTTGGAGAGGTGCCAAATATTTATATGAAATTGCCAGGGGACAGCCCAGGGGAAGTAGATGCTGGGAGATAGGAGGGCTGAGAACCAGGTCCACAGCACCTGGCAGGTCTGGGGACAAGCTTGGAACACCCATGGATTGTGGACTTGGTGGGGTGGGGTGGGGGACAGTACATTTTACCAAGAACTTGAGGACAGAGATACCCCAACTGATATCTTCTTACAACGAAATGAATCCAGATTTCTGGAAGGAGTCCCTCGGTGGTGCAAATGGTTAATGCATTCAGCTACTAACAAAAGAAAGGCCTGGTGATCAATTTCCAGGAGGGCACAGCCATTGAAAATTCTATGGAGTAGTTCTACTCTGACACACATGGAGTCACCATGGCTTGGAGTTGAATCACAGGCAACTGGTTTTTGGTTCCAGAAGGACGCAGTCTCAGGGCTGAGAGCAAAAAAATCTCTGAGCTTAGATAAGACAGCAGAACAGCTGGTTTATTTTGGGCTAACTGGTGGCTGGGCTGACCAGGGCTGGGGGCTTGGGGAGTGGGCTGTGGCCTAGGGGTTACGGGACCAGGCTTGGTTCTGGAACCTGGAGGTAGTACACAGCAGGCCAGCCAGGAGTGCCAGGCCCAGTATACCCACAGCAACAAGTGCCACATCCCACCAGGTACCAGGGGAGGCCCAAGGAGTCTGCAGCTGCCAGCCGCAGTTGCCCAGCTCATAGCCAGTCAGTTGGCCCAGTGGGCGGGCAGCAACCAGGCTGGGGCTAGCACAGACAACATATTGCAGGGTCTCAGGTGCATGGTCCTCTAGCCAGAGGCGCAGGTAGGTGAGGGTGCAGTCACAGTGCCAGGGGTTCTGTGTTACTTCAAGGGTCTGCAGCTGGGGCAGGTGGTCGAAGGCACCCGGGGGCACCTCATGCAGGCTGTTGTTGGTCAGTAGGAGGTGGCGGGTGTGAGCAGGCAGGGTGGGCAGCGCTGTGAGCCCTTGGCCTATGCAGTCCACCCACAGACCCATGGTCTCCAGGGGCTGGCAGGTGCATGACGAGGGGCAGTCCTTGGTTGCTTCTACCACGGCCCACAGCAAGAACAGGGCTCCCCAGGCAGGCATCAGGATGCTGGCTGAGGGCAGAGCATTATGAGGAAGGAGCCTGTAGCCTCCATCCACCCTGGGGACCATAGGCACAGAGCCCTGGGATCAGGGGACACTCACCTCCCTCCTCGGTCCTCAGGTTTCACTTCTGCAAAATGGTGTGGACTGAAGGAAGTGAAGGGTGTATCCAGTGCAGGGCCTGCCTGACCTCACACTAGGCACGCTGAACCAGCTCTGGCTGGAGGAAGGTGTGGCAGTTAGTCAGAGGAATTGGATGATAATGATGGGGAATGGGAGGAGGAACTGCAGAGAGTTGAGGTAGGATGGGGAGACTGGGTATAGTGGAGGAGGGGAGCAAGTCCCTGGAAAGGAGCAAGGATGTCCTGGAGCCCTTGCAGAGGCCCCAGCCTCTGCTCATTGTGGAGATGATTACTGAATAAGTCCCAGCCCTGAACCCAGAACAGGAAAGGCCTTGGAGAGGGCATCCAGTGTCTCTGCTCCCAGCTCCCGAGCATAAGCCCTGGATTGGCTGAGGTTTCCTAGGTTTGGCAGCTTAGTTTACACTTAGCCAAGCTGATTCCACACATTCTTGGCCAGGTAAGTGTACACTTACTGATGCTGCTGTAGACGGAGGATGCTGAAGTAGAAGGGAGGAGACCCAGGGGGTACCATCTGCAAAACTGCTTATCCAGCCAACATTCAGAGGAGCCTTTGAGGCCCAGAGAGGGAAGGTGTCTTGTCCAGGGTTGCTCAGTGGGCTCTGTCAATGACCAACCCTAATTCTGGTCTCATGAGCTCCCATCTGATGCTTTCTTTCCAGGCTCTCTCTGGCTTTCTGCCTTCCTTTAAGGGCTCAGTATGGGGCTGCCCCTTCCTAAGGTAAGGCCAGTGCTGGCCAGAAGTAGGTTTCCAAGGAATATTTCTTTAATGAACAAACAAACCTTGCCTGAGTCAAGGAAATGGCATCTCCATATGAACACCCACCCCTACCCTACACAGCCCTGTCTTTGAGGGGGATCAAATGAAGGTCAGGGTCTGGGAGGGCTTCCCCTGTCCCTGCCAGGCCTTGTCTCACCACTTACCTGGGAGGAGGGCTGGAGGAAAGGGCAGGCAGTGCTGGGTAAGGAGGAGAGCCACTTACCTAGGAAGGCTGGAGATCCCTTCTGTTGTCTGAGTCCATGATGGCAGCTTTAGGCGATGGTGGGAGGAAGGAAGTGATGAAAATAGCCTGGCTTATCCCCAAGGCAGCCCCAGAGGGCCTATCTCCAGAGGCAGGAGACACCCGGGGGCTGTGGCCTCAAGCCCAGAACCACAGGCCAACCCTATTTTACAGAAGGCGGTCTCACAGCAATGCCACAACACCATCATCCCATGATGGGGTTCATAGTGCATCTATGGGAGAACTCTGGAGCTCCCTGCCTAGCCCCAGGAGGCAGAGAAGGCTTCTGGGAGGAAGGGCCCTTGAGATGAGTAGTTTGACTGGCTGTTTAGAATCTCAATTTTCCTCATCTGTGAAACAGGAGCGATAATTTCTTTCCTGTTTGCCTCACAGAGGTGTGGGTCGGGCAGAGCCCTGAGCTAATGGAGCAGTGCACAGGTAGACCAAGAATCCTGTGGTGGAAGAGTGAGTTTCCAATTCTCATCTGTTCTTCTGAATAGGTCGAGGAGACAGTCTCCTTTTGGTGCCATGATGTCTGAATACATAGCACTTCCTGATCATTCTTCTGAACAAAGCTGCGAGCCTGGGGCTCAGAGCCTGGTCTCAGGCACGCATTCCTCTCTAGTTAGACTTTTCAACCATGGTGCTATTTGTTATTTATTTCTATAGTACATCTTACTTAGTGAAGTGACTTTAGTTTTCCATTGACGTTAGTGATAGAAAGTTCCCTTTTAAAAATAAATGTACTTGTAATATTATAAAATATTAATAAAATTAGCATAACAGTAAAATATTATATTATAAACAAATATATTACTAAAAGTAAATACTAATACATTTTATAATAAGTTATGCAAATTTTACTACTATGAAATATTTCCTAGTAAATAAACAAAGAGTTTGCAGAGATGGCAAATTTTGCACCTGTGGAGGGAGTAGCGGGCAACTGAAGTCTGGGAATCCCTGGAATACAGCAATACTTTGGGTAAATAAGAAAAGAGTTCCAGCAACATCAGTGAACAGAGCCCTTCTGTGACAGGAGGGGTCCAGGAAAGAAGCCTAGAGGGGGCTGCAGAGGCCAGGGCACCTGTGAGTAGGAACAGGCTGTCTAGGAGAGGAGGAACTCTGGGGCCACCCTGGCAGACACAATCAGTGTTGGTCAAGGAGGTCAAACCCAAGAAGGGGATCCTAGGCCCCTAGAACTTGGAAGTACTCATGTTGTTCAACCGTTGCCCTTATTCTACCCCAAATTTTTCCATCATCCAACTGTTTTTTTTTGTTAACACAGGGCCATAACATCAAAAGTCACAGTGGCCAGACAGAGACAGTCAAGGGCCTGAGGTATGCTTTAAACACACGTGTTTACATATTAGACCCTCAGGAATATTCTTTATATCCACAAAAGAACTTGAAAGTTTGTGTTAGTCAGCGTTCTCTAAAGAAACAGAACCAATGATATGTCTCTATCTATATTTATATCTAGGAGCTCTGGTAGCATAGTGCCTAAGGCACTTGACTGCTAACCAGAAGCCTGGCGGTTCAAACCCATCAGCCACTCCTTGGAAGGAAGGTTGGGCAATCTACTTCCATAGTGATACTGCCTCGGAAACCCAAGGAGGGGTTGCT